TGCTCCTTAGAGCCCCACCAAAAATTGGCCACTGCCCTGCAGATATCCTTACAAATACTAACAGGGAGTTTGTAACATGACATAACATAGGTAGGAAGAGCCTGTAGGACTGATTTTATAAGAATCTCTCTCCCAGCAGAAGACAAAAATGAATTTTTCCAATAAGAAATTCGAGAGAGGACAACATCTGAAACATATTTAAAAGTATCCCTCTTGGATCTACCTATCCCTAGGGGAAGACCTAGATATTTGGAAGATTCCACACTCTGAATGCCATTCAAGATGTTACAGATTCTCACTTTGGCAATTAAAGGGGTGTTTTTAGAGAGAAAGATAGATGACTTATTCATGTTGACAATTTGTCCAGAAGCAGAGCCATATTTGTTCAAAATATGAAGGATGAGAGAGGCATGATGAGCATCAGCAGAACAAAATAATATTGTATCATCAGCAAACAAAAGGTGAGAAATAGCAGGAGAGTGTCTACTAATCTTGATACCATGATATAAGGACTGAGCCGAAGCATTATGAATAAGATTAGACAAAGCTTCCGAGAGAATAATAAAAAGATAGGGAGAAATGGGATCTCCTTACCTAATACCCCTAGAGGGTTTACCCAAACCTAAGGTCTGACCATTGACATTGAAAGAAAAAGAAACTGTGTTAAGGCAGGCATTAATCCAAGACAAAAATTGGTCAGAGAATCCCATTTTTCTACAAACACAGAGCAAAAAAGGCCACTCAACTCGATCGTGAGCTTTGGCCATGTCAAGTTTGACCGCCATCAAACATTTAGTCCCTTTTCTTTTACTGTTGATAAAATGAAGACATTCATTAGCCAAGATAACATTATCAAGAATTTGATGGCCAGGGACAAAAGCAGACTGGTATTTACTAATACAAGGACACAAAACAGATTTTAACCTATTAGCAATGATTTTGGATATGGTTTTATAAATGACTGTACCCAAAGCTATTGGCCTAAAATCAGCAACAACAGAAGGATCAGGTTTCTTAGGGATCAAAGTAAGAATTGTATGGTTTATACCTTTGGGCATGATACCTGATTCAAAGAAATTGATAACTGCAGCACAAAGATGGTCTTTAATGATTGGCCAACAACTTTGAAAAAAGATTGGAGTCATTCCATCAATGCCAGGGGCTTTTGAAGGTTCCATATCTTTGATAGCCTCATATATTTCCATGACCTTCACAGGAGCAGTCAGCATCTGATTCATGTCATCAGTTATAGAGATAGGAATATTACTTAAATCACAGGCATAAATGTCAGGAACAGCAGTTGTAAATAAGTGTTTAAAGTAGTGTTCCAGTTCTCTGGTTATCTCTTGATCATTACCACATCTTATGCCTCTATAGTCTCTAAGATTTCCCAGGCTATTGTTTTTCTTCTTTGATGAACAGTAGCCTAGAAATACTTAGTGTTCTTGTCACCTTCTCTAAGCCACTGATTTCTAGATTTATCTCTCCAGTACTTCTCCTCATCTAAATAGGCTTGATGAAGTTTGTTCCTCCAGTTACACCACTCACCCCAGTTTCTCTTGTTACCATCACTCTCTAACTCCTTAAGATGGTCCTGACAAGTTGTAATCATCTTAGCAGAATTAGTAGTGTGAGTTTTTTGCCATGCAAGTAAGGCTTTCCTCACATTTCTAATCCTGCCTTGAATGCTATATAAAGGAGGACCAGTTACAGGTAAATTCCAAGCCCTATCCACCACTGTCATGAAGCCCTCTATCTTTACCCATCTGGAATCAAACACAAATCTTTTGGGTTTCAATTTTAGAGTACAATCACTCTCCAACACCAGCATACTGTGGTCAGAAGAAATGACTGAGATGTGTTTAACAATGGCATTAGGGAAGTGAGAGAGCCACTCATGAGAAAAGAAAACTCTATCTAGTTTAGCTTCAATAAAATCAGGGCCCTGCCTGAGGTTTGACCAAGTAAATTTATGCCCTACAGTGTTGGTCTCACTCTTACCCATATCATGAATCCAATCCCTGAAAGGTTGAAAACTAGCCTGCTCTCTAGGCCTACCCCCATTTTTATCTTCATTACACAAAATTGCATTAAAGTCACCCCCCAAAAACCACTTATCACCCCATTGATTCTTAATACTAAGCAAAATATCCCATTGGACTATTCTAATATCAAAATCAGTATTGGCATATAAAAAGATACCCCACTGGGTAATATCAGACCCTATGGTGTGAAATATGACACCAATACAAAAGTCAAGACAGAAATGATCCAAAATAGTAACATTACTAGACCAATAAAGAAGAAGACCCCCCTTATTCCCAGTAGGATGACAAAACAACCATCTGTTATCCAATTTAAGTTTTTTACAAACTGACACTACAAATTTTTCTTTCTTTTTGACTTCTGACAAAAACACCAAATCTGGGAGGTGAGCTCTTAAAGCTTCTCGCAATTGGGAAACTGTAGAGGGTCCCCCCAAACCTCTACAGTTCCACACACATACTCTCATTTAGACCCTTGGTACCATTTTAGGCTGGTCTCCTCCACCATTTTAGATTCATTAAGGCTGGATTTTTTGGCTTTTTTCTTTTTATCACCACCCTCTTCAGAGGAAGAGGGTACCTGAAGGCAATCTGTTATGTTCCTTTTAAGACCAGGACACTAGTAGAAGGAATAGCAGGATTCATTAATGGAACCTCCACCACCATGTCCTCAGGGACAGTTGGTATCATTGGTTTAAGTTTCCTAATAACATACTTCTTCCTTTTCTGAGTCTCATTGGAGCTTGTTGTCATGGCCTGAATGTCCACTTCAACAAGTTGAAGTTCAGAGTCAACAGGAGAAGACTCAAAATTTGGGGTTTGAGAAGGATGAATAGGTTCTATATTAGTCCCTACCCTTCCTTCTTCATTACTTTTGATTTCTGTCATTTTGTCACTCCCCAATCCTAACTGGGCTGAGGGAGAGTCACCTCTACCAGAAGATTCACTCATTCCACTACCTTTTTTACCCCCATCTTCTTCCTGACTAGACACTTTAGTAGATTGGTCCATACTATTATCTCTAGATTCAGAGGATTTAATTGTTTTAACATCATTCAAAGAAATGTGAGTGGCTCTCAACCAATCCCCATATTGACCAACATTAATCACATCTGTATTCAAATCATCTTTCACATTAGGCCAGTTTTTATCAACATGCCCAATTAGGCCACAGTAAAAGCAGAATGATTGGAGGTTCTCGTACCTGAAATCGACCCATAAAGATTCTGGTCCCAGCTTCAATTTAGTACCCCTAGGAATAGTCTCCCTTAGATTCAGCTGCACTTGAATCTTGATCAGATTGCCATGAGGACTGCCTGCTCCTGGAGTTTGCACATTCAAAACTTTCCCAATTATCTTCCCAATTTTGAGACCCATCTCAGCAGTCAGCCAATGAAGAGGAAGGTTATGCACTTGAACCCAGATTTTTATCTTCTCCTCTTCCCTAGAAAACTCAGTTGCCTTCGGATCCCATTCTTTGAAAAGGAGGTACTGCCCATCGAACGACCAAGTCTTTCCGTGGAGAACCTTCTGTTTGTCTTCCTCAGATTCAAATATGAATTGGAACAAGTTTATCCCAATGTTCCTGATGGAAAATTGTTTCTGAGTGACCCAGATACTCCCAAGAGTAGCTTTCAATCCACTGAAGTTGACCTTCTTTTCTCCATAGACCTTACCAATTAAACTCAATCTACAATCCTTTACACCTAAAGCGAAATCATGTTCTTCAATTTGCAGCCCCGATTCTTCCTTTTCTGATAATTTGAACTTTCGCATCTTCTCTGTTAAAAGCTCCGCCATTGCTATGAGTAAATGGAACCTAGCCCACTTGGCCTTGAAGGAAAACTCCGACCCAGGAGAATCTATACCTAAAAGAAGAGACAAAAAGCAAAGGTTTAAAGCAGAACCCTAACCCTAATGACGACGAAGAAGAGGGAAACCCTAAAACTATGCACAACAAACCCCGAAAAGGAAAATCCAAGAAAAAAGACAAGATGGAATCACTAAAGAGCCAGATCGCTATGAGATGATGCTGAGAAGAAGAAATGAGAAAGCCAAAGTAAGAATCCTGAACTCAGGAACTAGCATCCCAGAGGGGAAGTTTTTTCTCAATAGGAGAACTCAATGCCAGACAGCTTAATACTAACTCTTCAAAAAAAAAAGAAGGGAATATAGCTGCGAAGATTACCATACATAAATCTCCCTTAGATATTAATTATTATTACTCACAAACCTCTCTCTAGTTTTTCTTTAATTCCTCGTCTGCCTGAGAAGAGCCGGTTGGTCATCTGATAAAAAATAAAAAATGTAACGCCTTTCTTGTGAACAGATTTGAAAAAAAAAAAATAAAAAAAATGTATGTAACGGTTTTAGGCGGGAAAAACTTAGAGGTTTTATTAAATAGGCTTAATTTAACGTTATATGCCTGCAATTACATATAGATTTGACTGATATTATATTGAGTCATTGACTACACTTATTAATATAAATGTAAAAATTTGCTTCCACAATTAATTTGAAAACAAAATGAGAGGAAAATGTTTTTTCTCATTTATAGCACTAGTGTTGATATGATCTGTGTGATGCATGAGTATAATATCATAAATATTTTACTATTTAAATATTAGTAAACTTTTAAAGACAATATGCAATTCTGTTCCGCAATATTTAATCCAGCAATATTATAAATTTATTTATTTACTATAATTAATTTTGTTTTATTTTAAAGTTTTTTTTTATAGGTTTTGACTATTTAATATTTAAAATATATTTGTACCAAAAAATGTATATATTTAAAATTTATTTTTTATAATTCTATAAAATATTATAAATGTATATGGTCATGTGATATTTGCATATATATTACTTACATGTACTTATAAAATTGTCGATTATCTTCTTATAGTTTTTTAACAATTCTTATTTTTCACATTGTTAGATAATCGACCAACATTTAAACTCATAATATTTATCTTCCTTTATTATAATTCTAAGTGCATGAAAAGTTAAAATGTTTGATAATTAAATTTAATTATTTAGTACCTTTAATCCTTATGCAACACAAATTTTTCATGGTTAAATATTTTATTTTTATTTTCATTTTCTTATTTTAAATTCATATTTATTCTTTTAATTATTTTTTCAACCAATATAATGAGTTAATTAGTATCATTTGAATACTTAGATATATTATATATTTCATGATTACTAGGTGATATAGCCCTATTGTCATGGCCCGGCTCAGATAGTGATTGCCCGACTAAAGACTGCAGACGACTCCACTAAGTCGACACCGACAATGTCGACTTGGCCCATCGGCTATTCAAAAGCCGTCGGACCGGCCACGGTCTCTCGTCGACTTTATAAAGTCGACCGGATACAAGACGACTTCGTTGAAGATGACGAGCAGGCACTCTAGGAGCCCCCGAACACTTGTGTAACCTTAGATCGGCTCGACAAGGTTATAAGTCGACTTATAAAGACCTCCGATGACTTGATGTGTAGATGCGACACAGGAAAGGTCCCCGAGTGTGAGTTTACACAGGATAAGAAGGAATCTAGATGCTGACTCAGGAGTAAGCGAAATGCGAACCGACAGGGGCATTTTGGGTACTTCGTGTAAGTCGGCCAGGGCATTTTAGGTACTTCAAGTAAGTGTCTCTACTCCTATATAAAGGAGCAGAGGTAACCCTAAACCCTAACTTTCAATCTCTCCATTCATTATTCAGCTTCTGCTCCTACTGAGCAGAGCTCCTCCTCTCCTCTCTCACTGACTTGAGCGTTGGAGGCTCTTCACTGGAAAACACTTCCGGTGTTGAGTTCTTGCAGGTGTTCGCAGCGGTCTACGGGCGACTTGGAGACGATTCAAACAGACCGGAGCTCATTTCTACCGGTTCACTCCAAATCTAGGTGGAGACCCATCAAATTGGCGTCGTCTGTGGGAAGTTCTTGAAGGAAGTAAGAGCTTTACACCTAGTTCCGATCTGTTTGGCATGACGGAGAAGGAAGGATTGTCGAGAAATTTGAACGAGGATTTTCGGGCAGCATGGACGGATAAATGGCCGCCGCCGATTCCAGGCCCTAGACCACCACTTCAGGTGCTCGGTTTCCCGCTGTTCGGAGGACACGCGCCGTCGAGAGCGCGTAGGGAGGAAGAAACGCCCACCACACCACCTGCGGTGAAGATTCCAGGGCTAACACAAGGAGAATCCAGTCAGACAAGGGCCATCGACATGGGAATTGACGAGAGCAAGTCGGCTAAAATGGCTTTGAGCTTGGGAAAGCGGTCTGAAATGTTGGAGCAAGGGGCAAGACCACCACCCCAGGTCGAGGAACAAATGGTGACTATGACGAGGAATAAGATGCAAAGAATGATTGTGGAGGCGGTGGCAGACCAACTCAAACAGGTGCAAGTCGAGAAACCCAGGGTCGAACAACCTAGGAGGGTGCCACCCAGAGTCGAGCAACAAAGGGTTGAGTTGCCACCCCCTGATCACAAGCAACAAGATCGGTCCAATGATAGGCAGAACAGGAGAGTGTAGGAGAAGAAAAGTTGGAGGCTCAAGGGGACATTCGTTCTCGCAGCACATCCTGGATGCCGACCTACCGCAAGGTTTTCGTGATCTAAACACAAGTTATGACGGGTCAACTGATCCATCTCGTCATATGAGAAGTTTTGAAAATATGGCAGTCTTGCATCATTACAATGACCCGGTGCAGTGTCGACCTTTCTTGACGACTTTGCGGGGATCTGCGCAGGATTAGTTTCATCAACTACCAGCGGGAGCCATCAAGAATTTTGAGGGATTCAGTGCGAGCTTTCTCAATCAATTCGCAAGTGTCAGACCGCAAGAGAAATCGTATCTGACTTTAATGGGTATCCAGCAAAAAGAAGGTGAGTCACTGCGAGATTATGTGGCGAGATATACGAGAGCATGCGTCGAGGTGCCCAGGGCATCGGAGGAAAGAAAGGCAGGAGGTTTGACTCGAGGGTTGCTACCGGGCTTGTGCAGGAATTCTTTGGCAAAACGCCCGGGAAGAACATTCGACGAGGTGCTAGGGAGATGCGCAAAGTAAATGAATGTCGAAGAGGCGGAGATTGATTTGTCACGAACAATTAAAGAAAGTAAGGCTGGCCATCGAGATGAGAGAAGAGAGAAGAAAGTTTCCTCGACTGGGGAGAGGAAGGGATGATCCCCACGAGCAGAAAGAGATGGGTGATCTAGGGGATGGAGGCCAACTCATACACCCCTTTGTCGGCCCCTCAAGAAAGAATTTTGGAGGTGATGGAAAGAGAAATTCATGACAATGTCGTCAGATGGCCCAAGACGAGGAAAGATGGACCAATGAGGCCAAAAAGTAATCTATATTGTCGATTTCATAAGGACTATGGGCACAATACTGACGACTGCAGGCACCTTAAAGACGAGATAGAAAGGCTAATTAAGGCAGGGCACTTAAAGGAATTCATATATAAGGATCGGGGGAAGTCGAGCAGAAGGAGAGAGAGAAGCCGGAGTCCTTGCAAAAGGGCGAGAACGCCCGAGAAAGAGGAGCTTCCACAGAAAAGGGGAATCATACATATGATATTTAGAGGATCAACTGATGTGGATTCGAATTGAGCAAGGAAGGCTTATGCCCGAGGGCGCCATGGGAAAGTCGAGGTACAACAAGTCGACGAGAACGGACCGGTAATGAACTTAAGTCCAGCAGATGTGGGAGAAGTTGAAAGACCTCACAACGATGCATTGATGATAACTGCCTAAGTATCGGGATATGAAGTGCAAAGAGTGTTTGTCGACACTGGGAGTTCTGTTAATGTAATTTTTTACGATTGTCTCAAAAGGATGGAGCTCGACATACAACTCACACCCCTCCATACCTCACTATTCGGTTTCAACGGGTCAGAGGTCGCGCCCCTAGGGGAAACCATGCTCGCTGTCGTCCTAGAGGAAGGTGACTTGCGGAAGGTAAAAATGGTGAGATTCGTGGTGGTCGATGCCGAGTCAGCTTATAATGTGATCTTGGGGAGGCCAGCACTTAATGCATTCTAGGCTGTAGTATCGACCTACCATATGAAGCTAAAGTTCCCAGTCGGAGACCAAGTTGGAGAAGCTCGAGGCGATCAAAAGTTGTCGAGGACTTGTTATCAAATCGCTGTAAAAACCAACCAGCTGGCCGAAGTTAAGGAGGGAAAGAAGCCAATGATGAGCGAGAAAAGGCCAAGGAATAGTGATCTCGAACCACACGGGGAGCTAATGGAAATACAAATTGGAGAAACGAAGGAACAAACCACTAAGATCGGAAAAGACCTAAGAGACGAGCTGCGAGACCAACTCATCGCATTACTAAAGGAATTCAGGGATGTTTTCGCCTTCACCCCTGAGGAGTTGACGGGGATCGACCCCACTATTATGGAGCATAAACTCAACGTTGACCCCCTCAGAAAGCCAGTAAAACAACGACTTAGACGCCATGGTGAAGAAATCGACAAAGCCATTGAAGTCGAGGTGGATAAGTTGCTGCGAGCAGGGCACGTCAAAGAAATCCAATTTCCCGAGCGGATATCCAACACTGTGATGGTGAGAAAGGCACTAAACAAATGGCGCATGTGTATCGATTTTTGTGACTTAAACTTGGCCTGCCCAAAAGATCATTATCCCTTACCACGAATTGATTAGCTCGTCGACTTTACGGCTGGTTGCGAATTACTAAGTATGATGGATGCATCTCAGGGATACCACCAGATTCCGTTGTAACCGGAGGATCAAAGTAAGGTGAGTTTCGTGACGAGTAAAGGGACGTACTGCTATGTCGTCATGCCCTTTGGGCTTAAGAATGCTGGAGCAACCTACCAACGGTTGATGGATCGAATGTTCAAATCTCAGATCGGGCGAAATTTCGAGGTATATGTGGACGATATCTTGGTGAAGAGTAAGGCTTCGACCTCACACCCAGACGATTTAAGGAAAACATTTCAAACCCTTAGGGCGTCCGGGATGAAGCTGAACCCAAGCAAGTGTGCCTTTGGAGTAAAGGCAGGACGATTCCTGGGGTATATTGTCACAGAGCGAGGAATCGAGGTAAATCGGGAAAAGGTGAAAGCCATACTCGACATGGCCCCACCAAGAAATATAAGAGATGTGCAAGTTCTGACGGGACGAATTGCGGGGCTGAGCAGGTTCATTGCTCGAGCCGCAGAAAAAAGCTTCCCGTTCTTTAAATTACTCAAGAAGAAGTCGACCTTCTCATGGAGCGACGAAGCACAAATGGCCTTTGAAAAATTGAA